GTAGACCAAACACGCTTGTCCTGCATTGTCGCTAGGACCGAACGTGCTTTGCGCTCAGGCATGTCGCCATGCAACAGTTGTTGCCTGACCCTAACCTCTTGGGAAGTCAATGCTGGCGGCGTTCCACGAATGAAAACTGGACCAAAGATATTACTCGGGTGGCTGGGATGTCGATTGTTGAGTTTGCTCAGACATGCCCGCAAGGCTGCCGATCCTGGTGCGCGGAGACGGTTCGACGACCGGTCGCATACTCAAACTTCATCGCTAAATGCAAAACGTCAAGAGAAACTGTTCGAAGGTTTGGCATGATTTCTCGAATCGTAGTAAACAGGTGTCTAGAATCTAGAAGGCGCATCTGACGAAACGTGTACAACCCGCGCCAGCGCCTCCTTTGATAGATGATCCTCAAGACAGCTCGTCATGTGCTCAGCATTCTCTGGCGGAGAAGGCATAAGAGCCTCTCATGTCGCATTCAAAATGTTCAAAATTATCGAAAAAAACCAATATTTTGAACATTTTGAATGTTCAGCCCTATTCATATTAATATATTCAAGATATTGAAGAACCAGTAATTTGAATATTGACAATATATCGAATATTCAAGGGTTGCTGCTTTCCGTATGTAGGACGGAATACCGCCATATATTCAAACTTCTCAGGTCGCCGGAGGGGCGTCATGTTACACGTACCCTTCTATCTTGCAGCGGGGGGGAAGGGGGGGGAGGGGTGGTTGGTGTCAAGGGCGAGAAAGGGTTAGGGGGCAGGGGGGTTTGCAGGATGTACAGGGCTTACGTGAGGGCTCACAAGGGTTTCCATGATTTTGTGATTAGGGCTTAGGGTTTGTAGGATGTTTCGGGCTAAGTGTGTGGGGGTGCTCTAAATAACCTCTACCCCAGCTACATGGCAGCTCCTCTGCGAAGACTGAAGAGCATAGTTTAGGGTTGAGTTAAGGATTGCAACAGGGTTTAGGGTATAGGTCAGACAGGTTCTTCTCGACGGGGTTCGAAAGCATGAGCTTGCGCGAACAAACCATAAACAACTCTCAGCCGCAAAGCATAAAGGTTTAGCTAGCTTGCACTACTTGATGTGCGCAACAGGGATGAGTGTCACTTTTCGGGTGTTCCCGTCGCTTTAGACGGGCTGAAACAATGCAAATACAGGGATTTGAGATGTTTTGAGCATTCCTGCCTCTCACACGGAAGTATTGGCGCATAGCATCCCCTAGGAACGCTGTGCTTTTTTACAAGGTCGAAGACCCCAAAACTAAATCAAATCAGACAGGTCGCTCTGAACTATGACTGATGTGGCTGCGGCTCAAGGCTGTTCATCTTATCGGGTGGCACTGGTGGGATTGCTGAAGCCACCCCGCTATCCAGTAGCTGCTTAGGTTTGGCATTTGGGTGCTTGGAATTCGAGACAGAGGGTCTCAAGGAGGCTCACAGTACACAGTCCTCCTTATAGCCATTACCCGGAGGTTCTGAGTAGAGGGTTGCGTTACTTAAAAAACCACGTTTACAGTCCTTTCCAAGGCCTCAATAAGCTTCACCAAAAAGGGTTCAAATTTTCTCTTGTGCAATTCTAACTTATAACTTTAGTCTTAGAGTCCCGCAACATGGAATCCTATTTCAAACCCCAAAACGGAAAGGTTTTGGGGCAAGCTAGGAGAAACCAGACCGAAGAGTATCCTAAGAATAGAAAGGGCATCCGTGTTGGTTTTCAGGGGGCTGATAAGGGAACTGCAACTCTAGAAAAGGAAAAAGCGGCCTACTCTGGGTCCTAGCAGACCCTCCCTAAACCCTAAAAACCCTAAACCCTAAAAGCATTCATCTCCATTCCCGGGCATCGCACGGAGGCTTTGGACTTCTCGTGGCCGGCAAACATCTCCCTGCCCACGACATCGGCCCGAATACTCCGGATTTACTGGGCTGAGGGTTTAGGGTCCAGGGTCTATTAGGGTCTAGGGTTCAGGGTTCAGGGTTGAGGGTTCAGGGTTTAGGGTTGAGGGTCCTTTGAGGGCCATTTAGAAGGGAGTTCCTGGACTGGCCTTTTAAGACTGCGCTAGGAAAGCTAGGGTTACTTTTGTTTCTGTTGGTATATGAGGGGGGGTTTAGGGTTTAGGGTTTGGGGTTTGGGGTTTGGGGTTTGGGGTTTGGGGTTTAGGCCCTGAGTTATACTAAGGTTCTAGAAGGACTACATACGGGGCGTGAGAAGTTATACTAAGGTTCTAGAAGGACGACATACGGGGCGTGTGAGGGTGAAACTGTCCTGCGCTACTCGCTAAATCCTGACAAGCATGTCAGGCATGTTTTCCATGTAAGCCCTCAAACTCTATCCCTTGGTAGCCCAGTAGCCATAATGTTTTTTTGGGTTGGCTACTTTATAAGGGAACCCAGAACCAAAAAAAGGGTACCCTTGGTACCACTGGGCTACTAAGAACCCAACCGAAATTCCCAAACAGGGTTGTGATGGGTATGGTGCATTCTGGGTATCACAGGGTTTCCACTCCAACGGGCGCTGTCTTGGCACGGAGGCTCAGAGAAGGAAGACCACGATCAAGTTGAAGGTAATCTACTACTATTTGCTTAAGAACCCCACATAAACATTCTTCTTCCTGATATGGGTAACAAATTACTTTCAGATTTTCTATTTTTGGGGGTTCTTAAGCAAATAGTAGTAACGGGGGGAGGGGAGGGGGGGGGTTAACTCAAAAATAGGGTTCCTTTCAGGGCTCCTGTTTCTAAGATGCCGACCCCCCAACAAGAAACCGACCCCCCAACAAGAAACCAAAATCTAGAGAAACTGCCGAACACTGCGGTACAAGCCTTTCACCCCAGTCTGCCCCTGTAAAAGAGGAGGCCTTACCCTCAACCCTCAACACTAAACCTCAAACCATCTTCCTATTCCAGGGCCTGCCGGAAACCCTAAACCCTAAACCCCAAACCCCAAAACACCCTTCTGGGCCAGGCTTTTGTCAGCCTCCACGGCTCATTCTAAAACCTCCCACACCCTCAAAGACAACCCACTAGTGCTGAAATCTGCAAAGCGGTTTAGGGTTTAGGGTTTAGGGTTTAGGGTTTAGGGTTTAGGGTTTAGGGTTTAGGGTTTAGGGTTTAGGGTTTAGGGTTTCAATTTAGGGTTTAGGGTTGAGGGTTTAGGGTGCAGAGAAGATGCCCGTTGATGCGAAACCCGAATCAAAACTCTTGCTAGCCTCGGTGCAGCCCCGGGCACAAGAAGCACCAAGGAGGGCCAACAAGCGCCTGATACAACTCAGATTCTCGAAGTGGACGTAGCGTTTAGAGTTTAGGTTTAAGGGTTAGGCTTTCAGGGTTTAAGGGTTTAAGGTGTAGGTTGAGGGTTAAGATGCGCAGCTCTCAAATTGGCGTCGGGCTTGAAAGGCTTTAAGGCATATACAGTCTTCAGAAAAGGTAGATTTGGTCTTCTTAGGGAAACCCCCAAGCCCGCCGGACATAAACCGTGCAACAAAACCTGACTCTAAAACTACCTAAAACACGCATTTGCACAACAACTCTAGACCCTAAACCCCCCAAAACCCTAACTTTAATCCCTAAACCCTAAACCCTAAACCCTAAACCCTAAACCCTAAACCCTAAACCCTAAACCCTAAACCCTAAACCCTAGCCCTAAACCCTAAACCCTAAACCCTAAACCCTTCATCCCTGGAGCCTCCCACTGCCAGGCCTGGGCTCTCCGGCGCCTTCTCCTCCTTGCCGCGCTGCGTCGCCGGCCTGGGCCACCTGGGCTTGGGGTTTGGGGTTTAGGGTTTAGGAGTGTTTGGGGTTTAGGGTTTAGGGTTTAGGAGTGTTTAGGGTTTAGGGTTTAGGGTTTAGGGTTTAGGGTTTAGGGTTTCAGGAGGGTCCCCTTGCGGACAGTACTAATTCTGGACTTGGGGGATTTACGGCAAATACATTATAGACAAACAAACCAGTCACGAACAAATATATAGGGGAGGGCCCACCCAGCGATAAGTGGAATGATAGGAGTGCCAAGTATGTTTATAAGGAGGTTTGAGGCAAGGATCGAAATGCTACACCCCAAGCCCTGAGATGCTACACTCTAAACCGTAAACCCTAAACCCCAAACCCTAAACCCTCAAGTTGCCAACATGGGTTCGAACTTTTGTGTGTAGACAACATAGAAGAACCCCAAGTCCTTCTTGTATGGAAGCCATTGATGGGAAACCCAAGCACAGTTTAAACCCTAAACCCTAAACCCTAAACCCTAAACCCTAAGCCCTAAGCCCTAAGCCCTAAGCCCTAAGCCCTAAGCCCTAAGCCCTAAGCCCTAAACCCTAAACCCTAAACCCTAAACCCTAAAACCCAAAGCCGGGAGCCCCCGCGGGCGCTGGCCTCCCCCCCGCACCGTGGACTCGCAACGCGCGCGCCCGGCGCTCACCTCAGCGTGTCTTTTGGTGAGGGGTAGGGTTTGGGATTAAGGGTTTAGGGTTTAGGGTTTAGGGTTTAGGGTTTGGGGTTTGGGGTTTCGGGTTTGGGGTTTGGGGGTTGTGTAGGGGGAGTTGGTACACCCTCACAGCTGACAGTTTTTCGTCTGGGAGTGCTGCGCAGTGAGAGTTGGCGATGGCCTTTGGCGAGTTGCCCAGTCTGTGCTGTCTCATGCCACTAAACTAGGGGGGGTTGGCAAAACCCATACGGGTGGGATTGGCAACCCCCTACGGGTGGGATTGGCAATCCCCTGCGGGTGGGATTGGCAATCAAAGCCCTGCATAATGGGATTGGCAACCGATTACTGGGGTTGGTAACCCCCTCCAACTAAAGCCTATAAGCCCAAAGCCCTAAACCACAGCTTGCGAATTCAAGCCACGCTACGCTGCGTGGCATGTGGAGTGAAACGTGTCTAGTGAGACCATGTTTTCGGTCTGGAGGGTTCAGAGTTTAGGGTGTTGGTTTTGGGGTGTTTAGGGCTCATATGGTTTAGGGTCGGCTTTAGGGTCGTCTGGGTCACAACACGCCGAAATGCAGCTGTCAAATCACCATATGAAGTGAAAGTGCAGCCAGGAAAAAGCAAAGAAACAGCGACTTCGTTGGTGCGGTGTTGGGGTCGACAAGCCCAGTGACGTTAGCTTCAACAACGTCTGTCCACCAATTCCACTGTTCCAAGGAAAATTCCCAACCGGCTTCGTTGCTCGCAAAAGGCATGGGGTGGTGAGGTAAACCCTGCAGCTTGCAATGCCGCGTGCTTACCAAAGTGGCACCGCAATTTATCTTGTCGAAGCATGTGACAATGCCTGAGCTGAAAGACTGCTTCGCCTCTCCTGGGCACTGCAGCCGCGTGGTATACCTCGTCCACGTCGCATCCGCTTGAACGGTATAGGCGTCCTCGGTCATCGTTGCGTAGAAGAAGGGTTTCGTGGGGGCGCAGGAGTCGTAGTACTCCCTGTTGCGATCGGATTGCCACACGCAAGCCAAACCACCGTACGCGTCGAAGTCGGTGGCTGTCGTTGGATCACAGGAGATGGCAAATGCGAGGTAACAACCTGCACTGTAGCCGGAGAGAAATGTCCTTCCCTCCGGGATGTCCAGCTGAAAGGTGTTCCGGATGATTGCCATCACTTCCTTGATGAAGGATTTGTCGTCCACCACTGCATTGTCTGTATGGCAGCACCACCCTGAGTACCAACTTCGGTCACTGCCCCCCTCGTCAGCCGTCCAACCCTGCGGAAAAACCGATACCCAGCCCAGCTTCGCAGTATTGCTTCGGTAGTCGCCCGTATACCAAAAGCTGTCGATAGGTTGGCCCATACCGTGCAACATCATGATAAGCCCCTGCTGCTGTATGGATGTGTCAGGGTTCTGGATGTAGATCTTGTACATGCGTTTCAAGGAACCAACCATGACATTGTGCTCGGTCAAGCCTGAGACCAAAGGGGCCAAGCGCCGCCCCTCTGGCGTCTTCCCCAAGATATGGAAATACTCATGCGCCACGTCTTGAGGTGCGACCCAGCCCTTGGGTAACTCCTTGAAGAGACTCTGTGGAGAGCTCAGGAGGGGACTGCCCTTGCCGAGGCAAACGCAGAACTCCGCGAGAAACACCATCTCTACGAACATCGTGACACGCTCCATGGCTCGGCCCTACAGGCGCGGGATCGCGTAGAAGCTCTCACAAAGATACTGCGTGTCGGCAACAAAAGCCTCGAATCCGTAATGGAAGTTGCCTTCCAAACCTGTACCAAATTATACAAGAACCTCCTTGTCTAGTTAGGTGTATGGCACCTGGATAGGGGTGTTGGAGTATTCCTGAGAATGTAACTTGGGTTGGGATCATCCTACTGGGGCTGAGATCTTAAGATAGATGTTCTCCTAGGGTGGGTTGCGATGAAAGCATCAGTGAACCCCAAACCCTAAACCCTAAACCCTAAACCCTAAACCCTAAACCCTAAACCCTAAACCCTGAACCCTAAACCCTAAACCCTAAACCCTGAACCCGAAGGCCTTCGAAGTGTCATCCATGAGGTCGCGGCATGCCGCATCGGCTCAATCTCCGCCTCAAGGCGATGCCGCGGCAAAACCTCTCGGCGCAGGCGCATGGTGCAGAGATTCAGTTAGGGTTTAGGGTTTAGGGTTTCGGGTTTAGGGTTTAGGGTTTAGGGTTTGGGGTTTGGGGTTTGGGGTTTAGGGTTTAGGGTTTAGGGTCGCTATTGAGTGAAAGGGTCATCCATAAGTTGTTTTGAAGAGTGGGCTCATTTCAGGTGGCGTTCTCAAAGAGGAAGGGCTTTCGTACCAAGCCCTCAATCCTAAACCCTAAACAAAAACCGATCATGAGTCCGAAATGAGCCCTATTCTAATCAACACCACAACACACAACCCGAAATACCCTTCAGCCGCAGACTCGGGCATATGGGAGTGCTCGCGGCGGAGGTTGGGGTCTGGGACCACTAGCTCGACTCTGCCAGGGAAGGGTCAGGTTGAAGTTCTGGACCCTAAACCCTAAACCCTAAACCCTGGGGTTTCTAGATTAGGGTTGAGCTCGGTTGCCCAGCAACCTCTGACCCGAAACAGCCCGTTTGTTGTTGTTGTTGGGCTTAAAGCGGTTTATAAGATTATAAGTCTAGAACATGTAGTTGTAATACGTAATGTACAATAGACAAGGGATCTCAACTCTAGTAGGTACTACTGTGTGTCCAAGTTTGCTGTTTTCCTGAAGTCCGATGCTTTCAACGAGTTCGGAAGAAAAGAGGGTAAGGGGAAGAGGAGATGAGGGTTTACGGTGTAGGGTTTTGTCAGGAAATTTGGCTGAAGGAGACAAAGCGCAAGACGTGGACAGCCGCCAAAGCGAAGATTCGGCCGCGCAAAAAAGCCTCAACCCCAAATCCTGCCAATCTTAAACATTCAGCCCCGATGCCACCTCGGGACGCCCAAAACATCAAAACCCCGAGGCGCTTCAGCAACAAGGAGATTGGGTGATATAGGGGCCTTAATAAGTAGAATAGGGTTGTGGGGGGTTATTATGGTATATTTGATATTTGTAAAGGGACCAAAAGCACTAGTAGTTCTTCCGACCCCTACACCCTAAACCCTACACCATAAGGGAACATCACCAGTAATTATTCCGACCCTAAACCCTAAACCCTAAACCCTAAACCCTAAACCCTAAACCCTAAACCCTAAACCCTAAAACCCTAAATCAAGCCCCCCCCCCCCCCCCCCCCCCCCGAAGTTGTAAATCTCAGCCCCTTCCGCCCCGATGCCTCCTTTTCTTCTGCAAGCAGGCCTGGATGAGGAACGTGCGGTTTAGGGTTTAGGGTTTAGGGTTTAGGGTTTAGGGTTTAGGGTTTAGGGTTTAGGGTTTAGGGTTTAGGGTGGGGCCGATCGCTTAGGGTTTCAGCAGAGACTGCCGCGGGGCCTGCTTTTGGTCCACAGCCAAGCTTCTTCTGGCTTATGTTTCCGTGGCTCTCCTCCCACATCTTTCCCCATCGACGGCTGAAGCTCTACATTAGTGGGTACCCAAACCCTAAACCCTAAACCCTAAACCCTAAACCCTGCACCCCGAAGCCGACTCGAAATGAGCTGACTGGATGAGTACATTGACAGCTGCCTAGGCATGGATACACATTGTCACCTCTGCGCTTTCAGGGATCAGGAACCAGGTCCCTAACCCTAAACCCTAAACCCTAAACCCTAAACCCTAAACCCTAAACCCTAAACCCTAAACCCTAAACCCCACACCCTAAACCCTAAACCCTCACTCCCGGGGCTTTTGAAGGGGAACCTTTCCTTCAGAAAATGTGGTACTATAGGCGCCTCCTGAGGTCTGTGGTCCCTTGCAAAACTCAGATCTAGAAGCAAGCTGTATACGCCACCCTCTCTTTGGGGTTTGGGAAATAACTATAAACCCTAAACTTGGGGGGTTCGGGAATAACTATAACCCTAAACCCTCAACCATATAAAAGGGTTTGGGGCTTTGTTGGTGCCCTATGGAAACCTGGGCTGGCCCTTAAAAGCCTCGGAAAACATAGTCCTGAATATGATCCTCTTAAACCCAATACGGGGAACATAACAAATGTTTTAAGGGCCTACCTAGAAACACCTAATTACTTTCCACGCCTCCCACCCTAAACCCTAAACCCTAAACCCTAAACCCTAACCCTAAACCCTAAACCCTAAACCCTAAACCCTAAACCCTAAACCCTAAACCCTAAACCCTTGGGACTTTCTTTTGGTGCCCTCTAGAAACCCCTAATCTCCACGCCTCCCAGAAGCTGTATTCGCCGCCGCCTTGGAAGCTCCTCCAGGATGAGCTTTGACGAGCGGAAATGCGGTTTAGGGCTTAGGGTTTAGGGTTTAGGGTTTAGGGTTTAGGGTTTAGGGTTTAGGGACAGGGGCTGCGATGGCTTCCGAGGGCCAAGTATTGAAGCATCTCATTAAGGCCTTTCGGGGTTGAGGAGTTGAGGCTTCCATGGGCAGCTTGCCTTTCGGCTTGCGTGTCCTACGCGCCAGGAGGTGAGGGATTGAACCCAAAACCCTACTCAAGTGGGATGGTTTAGGGTTTAGGGTTTAGGGTTTAGGGTTTAGGGTTTAGGGTTTAGGGTTTAGGGTTTAGGGTTTAGGGGGAGTCTTCATGACTAATCCCTAAGCCCTACAAAGCCCTAAACCCAAGACCTCAAACCCGAAACCCTACCACACCCCCCAAACCCCAAGATCTCAAACTGTAGTAGACCCTAAACAATAAAAGTGCCCTAGCCCCAGAGCCCACCCTAACTCCTCAGTCCACCAGGCCTGACACACCAGGCAAGCCAGAAGCCCAAACTAAGACTTAGGGCTTTAGGAGAGTCTAGGAGGTTTTGAATGAAGTTTAGGTTTTGGGGTTTACCCCTCCACCATATACGCCCGAATTAAAACGGACGTCCCATGGAAACCCCCTGAATCATCAACCCAGAAGAGGTAGCGATGTCCCCCAACCAGAGATCAAAAGCTCATGCTTGGGGGTTTGTCTTCTAAACCCTAACCCTAAACCCTAAACCCTAAACCCTAAACCCTAAACCCTAAACCCTAAACCCTAAACCCTAAACCCTAAACCCGCGTCTCCGAGATGTCTGCAGTTGCCACGGGCACGTGTGCGAACAGCCGGCGGCTTTCCTGACCAGGAGCCCCAAGTGTCTGAAAGTACTCTGGGGGTTTAGGGTTTAGGGTTTAGGGTTTAGGGTTTAGGGTTTAGGGTCTAGGGTTTCCGAAAGTACAGGTACCTTTAGGGTTCTAGCAGGCTGCCAGAGGGTTCTGTGGCAAAATCTAAGGTTCTTGGGACTCGGGTACCAGGGGACAAGGTACCTTGCTGGGCTCCTAATCATAAGGGGATATTTGGGGGCCCTTATTCTCGCAAAACCTCAAGGACCATATGACTTTCAAGCGAAGCTTTGTCACGTGTAGCCCTATTTCAATTTTCGGGCCCTTACAGCCCTAAACCCTAAACCATAGCCAGATGAGGGCCGCTGCATATAGGCTCTTGCTGAGGGTTTCGGGCTGCAGGTCTGCGGGGGCTTCTAGGGTCGTCCAGGATTCTGCTTGAAGCTTCGTGGGTTTAGGGTTTAGGTCTTAGGGCGTCTAAGCACAGTAATATCTCATCAACAGTATGGGTTGGGGGGGAGCCGGTCAAGGCACCCTGGACCCTTAGAAAGCCTTTGGGCCCCTGACCCACAAGCCCCAAAAACCTAAAAAACACCCGACCCTCTTAAACCCTTGAGCCGCCTAACCTGGCAACACCAAGTCCTTGGACCCTGAACCACAAAGCCCCCATCCCACGAAGCCGCTTAAGAGCTTGTAAGGCTGGCCCTTTAAAACAGCTGGCAGGAAAGTTGCGAGCCGCTTAAACCGAATAAGGGGAAACAACGTAAAAAACAAAAAAACAAACAAAAAACGATCCAAAAGGCCCACCTAGCTTGTAAGGGCAGGTTACGATTCTGCCAAACGAAATGAGGCAAATAAATAAATAAGGCCTACCCGCCTTCGAGGCCCCAAACACAGAACCTCTTGAACCAACGATAACAAGAAACATACACAGGGCCGAGCGAGCGTGTAAGCCCTAATTATGTGTGTATACTATGGATACAAATTTTATATTTGTGTGGATATGATGACTTCTCTCAAGCATGGCCTGTTTGGGGATCCTTGCTGTAAGGCGGCCCCTCTTGTTTAGGGTACCCCAACAGGGGCCATAATTTAGAGAAGCGACCACATGAATCTCTTAAACCCAGTAAAGCAGCACATCTAAACCCTAAACCCGAACCCTAAACCCCGAACCCTAAACCCCAAACCCTAAACCCTAAACCCTAAACCCTAAACCCGAAACCCTAAACCCGAAACCCTAAACCCTAAACCCCAAGCTATGCCAGTGGCCTCATCCTGCTTGCACTCCCGACTCTTCACGGTGGCCCGATGGGAGCTGAAGGAGCGATCTGGGGGAGCCTCTGAGGAGGGTTTAGGGTTTGGGGTTTAGGGTTTAGGGTTTAGGGTTGAGGGCGTTACGACTTGTCAGGGTTTATGTTTGAAGGTTTTAAGGGTTTATTCTTCAAGGTTGAAGACAGGTGAACTTAACGGTTTTAAAGGGTTAAGTTGGGATGTTCCTCCTT